GCAAGTGTTTGCAATGCACCCGTTGACAAGTTACAACCTATCCTTTGTATCATGGTTGCATCAGCTAACGTTCAGAACGCGTTATGGCTTTCTTAATCACCACAATGCATAGTGGTCAAATATCATGAAAGCCATGACACGAATTTCACTTTGTGGTTGTTTTTTTTGCTCAATGAGCATTTCGGTCTTTGGGCCTAATATAGATATAGTTATTTTATAAAATAGCTTTTTATCCTGTTTTCAGTTTAATCATTATACATACTATACTGACTTACACTGGACAAAGCTAATTTGCCCATCAGAAGAATTGAACATACAGTACATGAACTCTTGGCTGCACACTTATAAGGTTATCAATTTACTGTTACCAACTCAAGGCAACCAACTGAAACTATACAGGGTTGCTCAGCATCCGACAATTTCTGAAACATTGTTTTAGACTTTAAGGCTTTGTATGCATCTGTTAAACTTGAGCTTTGTTTTTGCTGCTTGTGGGATTGGCTTATGTTGAGAGTTTCAAACAATGCATGCTATAAATAAATTCTTGAATTCTCCAAAACACTTTGTTACACCTCTCACTTTCAGTTGGATGGAGAAATATTCCTTCAAAAAAGAGGGGTACCTATGGGTAGTGTTCTGTCTGGAGAAATAGTTGAAATTGTGTTGTCTCTCTTAGGGCCATTGTCATTCCTAAATTTCTCTCCCATATTGAAATATATAAAAGATACATTGATGATGTATGCATCATCTGGTAAACTAAGCCTAATATATATAAAAGCCTATACAAGCCTATATAAAAAAAAAAGACTTTAGCATGAATGACAATCTGTATGGTCTCACCATTGAATTAGAGCAAATAAAGAAGCTCACTTTTTAGATATCAGCATCTCCTTTAATGGTAATGGATACAACACTAAAATCTACCATAAACCAAGCTTCAATCTCATAAACATATCAGCCAACTCCAATGATCCATACAACTACAATAAGATAGCCATTAGAGCACTTATTAGAGTTACAATGTATAAACTGTTTAGCAGTATAGCATGATTGCAGTGGTAAAATAGTACCTACATTAGCATGTACTATAGAAGAAAATCTTAAAAAGATATTGGCTAGGAATATAGCAACTGCAAACAAAAATTTAAAATCATAAACACATAGTAGTTGACTATGACTCAGATTGAGTACAACTTACAAGATCATAATGAAACAATTAAATATCAGTTTAGCCTATAAATGCAACCAAACTTTATACAAACTATTCAACAACAGTAAGGATAAGACTGAAGATAGCAAAACGCCTGGAATATATTCCACACCACTGTATGACAACAGATTCAATATAAATCTGTCGAGGTTGATCCCAACTTACCGATTAAAGTAAATCGACCGACATAACGTAAAAAACATGACACTTTTATTAACTAGCAGATTAAATTCTAACTCCATCTTACAATGTTTTTTTTAACGAGCGGTATCACAGTTCGTGGAACGTAGCGTAGGGTCGACTGGTCGTCTCGGCAGCTAGTCCAGAAGTAGTTCATCGGCTAACGCTCCGGGCAATTTACCGCCTTACAGAAATGTTGACTATTAGTTCGCGACAAGAAGAAGTTCGCGACCGCAACAAATCTAACATATATAGACTCAACAAATAAATCCTTTCCTTGACACAAAAATTCAAAAAGAACCAATATGATATTAGTAAAAACAAATACAGTACAGCTCTAGCACAATATGCAAGAGAGCAAGGGGTTTCTCCACAATGGGCAGAAGCAAAGCTTTTAAATTGCACATTCAATAACCATAAACTAAGAACCATGGAGGTGTTTGAACTATTTGCTGCAACACTTAAAGGAAGCTCATTAACAGTACAGAATCCATAACAGTATATCCATATCCAAGGCATCTATATTAGGTAACTCCTTAAAAAATAGCACCAACCAATAATACATGCAGCAATTTATATCTTGCCAAATAATTTAATTTTTTAGTTTTTAAATTATATTATTTATTAGAGGCTTTTTAATATTTTTGTTCATAATTATTCATTTAATTTGTTAGAACTACATAATCTTTACATAAATATAGTAAAGTAAGACCCTGTTTAGCAGTTAGGATGCATTCCTAGACAACAAAGTATTAAATGAAACAGTGTTAAACGAGTAAATAGGGAAAAAGGAGCACATGACCAACAATAAACAAATTTTAATTTAATTTTAAGTTATTTTTATATTAGTTTGCATAATAATATGTTACATAACACACAATTCCACGAAGACTAGCCACCAAGTGACCAATCACTAACACTTTATAATGGCTATTATCCAATAAAATAATAAAAAAATTTTACACCAATACTAATGTATTTGCTTTTGGTTGGATAAAAACGGACTCAGAAAAATTTTGTCATCATGATGATGAGTGTGAGTGTTAAAACCACCCCTAGCTGCCAATAACTAATATATTTCTGATTATGTATATGCTACTATGAAAATAATGGGTTTATAAATACCATAAATATCATATCATAATTACATGAAAATATGAAATTAAATTATTAAAATTGTAATGAACAATTTGACTGGTAGTGGCTGTTTTAGGTAGAAAATTTAAAAAGATGTACAGTACTTGAAGAATAAAATAAAAATTAATTTTTGAATATATTATTTCTAATAGCATTTTATGAAAACTTGAGAACTGGCTAGTTCCTATTGATAAAAATTGCAATGTAATCAAAAATTTAAAATTCAAAATGGTTAAAATGACCAGTTCAGCCATTCTAGTGTTAAAAATAATTATCTAAACATGGAAAGGACTTTCATGATTATGAAGATAATGATAATTATTCTACTCCTACCAAGAATTATACATAAGAAGAAATCAGAAAGACAAACAACTCTGGATATATTCTTCAAGAAATTTTAAATGTTAATTACTTCAGAAACTTATTGTTTTAAAGACACTCCTTAATGATGAAATAAATAAGATGAATAATAAACATTTTAATTATTTTTGGATGTTATAGAAAAATTAGATGTAATTTAAATTTAGGAGTGAAAAAATAGTATTTCCATATTTCTTTAAATCTCTGTTATCACACACATTTTATGCAAGAATGCATAAAATGTGCATATATTACAAAAAAAAATTTATATCTGGAATGTATTATTGCATTAAAAAAAGTTATTGTACCATCTATGAGGGAAAGATTATGATTTTAGCATAAATGGAAACTGGCACATTTTCCTGGAACGATCTGTCACATTTATCAAAGTGTCTCCAGATGTGAGAGAACGATGATAATGCAAAAACTTTCCCCTGGTTCACTCCAGAGAAGAGTTTTTATGATCAGGTGTGACTGATCATAAAAATGACCAAGATAAAGGTGGCTTGACCTTTGACCTCCTCAGCTTCTAAGTATGAAAGGAGAAGGAAGTCAGATTAGAAAATAAAAAGACAGTTTAGCTTTAAACACTCTGAAACTAAGTGGAAATCAAGATCAAGAATGCTCCAGTAGTCACTGAAGTTCTCAAAAGATTGGCAGAGATTGAGACCTAAGCCTTATCAGAAGGCAGAGATCAGAACATTTTTCCATCAAAGAAAGAGAAAAGAACTACCATATAATTTATTTTAAAACTTTAGTGTGTGTGTGTTTTGAGAAAATTATACTTCTTACTCAAACATAACAAAATTTAATTTTTATTTATAATGATGCAGATAACCATCTTAGAAACACAATAAAAACTAAAATTTGAAACTGTTAAGCTAATAGCCTAAAAAAGTAAAAATACTGGTATATACAAAAAGATTATTTTGTAGCTTTATGCTATATTTTTCTACATATTAATTTAAGTTTAGTTTAATCTCTTCCTTCTATCCTTTGTCCTATTGTTCTATTTCCTTCTAGAACTTTCTTATCTTAATCCCTATCCCTCGGGTGGGATGACCAGTTCTGAGAAATGGTGAAACAAAGGAGTGAGCAGGACCCTGAGGGCAAACAGAGAAGGGACAAAGGAATTCTCTTGCGGAAAAAGGGAACTTTATGTATAGAAGAAGAAGACAAGTCAAATTTTTGGAGATTATCATGTGGCATCCCACCCAACAGCACACATAGTGAAAGTATTCCAACAAAATCCTGGGTATTTCTGTTTCTATCGTATGTATTCCTCCTTCGTCTCCTTTTCTTCCATTAGTGTAAAGTTAGTGTATAAGATTAGTTTTAAGCTCGGGCTGCATCTTATCACGATTGGGATCGGTACTGCACATTTAGATCTAACGAATTATTGTCTTAGCAGTAAATTCGCATACGATTGTAATGTATTGTGATGTTGGAATTCTCAATCAAGAATCTATATATGTATGCGAAATTGTTTAATTGTAAAAATATATAATTTATCATTTTTACCGTATCCTGTCTGCCTTTGAGGTAATTTTAATTTTGCGCACTTTTCACAATTTAACATAATTAAGGTAAGAAATGTAAGCAATTTCAACTATTATATTGCAAACAAATAGCAACTAAATGTTTTAACTTTTAAAAGCACTGAAATTAATGATGATCTGACAACAATTGTGTGTTATTGACATGTTGAGGCTGACATAAAAAGAAATTATAAATGGAATATTTACTTGAAGATAATAACTTTAACCGAAACTCTTATTACAATAAGCAAAATTTTATAAGCATAGCTTAATTTATATTTTGGTACTTGCTAATTCTGATAACATTTAACAATTAAAAACAATATCTGCAATTATAAAAGCAAATTCTACTGTATTTGTAAAATGGATAATCAGTATCACTTTATGAGTATACTGTATTATAGGTATGCTCACATTTTTTATTATATATAATTTTATAAAATATAAAGTGAAAATTTTGTCATTTTTCAACATGTTATTTTTATCAATTTTATCTTACAAGTTATCTTAAAAATATTTTAAGACTTTTATTTAAAATATTGATTTCACATTTCAGAAAATTAAATGAAACTTACCTGTTGCACCTACCCATTCTCCTATCCATAAGGAATATAAATTATACTGCACCAAAAATCTAAACAATAATATGTTTAATATTTTAAAATTATCTGATTATTGCAAAATGTAAAATTCTATATTAGCTTATAATATATTAATTTCATAAATATATTTTCCTCATCAAAACACCAAGGATTTGAATGAATCTCAAATAGATTTGAATACTAAGAATTTAAATGACTCTCATAGACACAAAGTGCTCAAGAAACAAACAGGATAAAAGTTGTTTTGATAAAATTGAAAGTTATTCATATTAGATAGGAAAACTGAATTGTAAAATCTTATATAGGGTGTTAAGAAATTAGACAGACAAAATGAAATAGGTGATAGAAAGATCAACGTTTAATTTTAGTCACAGGTATGGTTTCTCAAATGGGATCCCAGTTGATTTTTTTAACCTGGAAAATCCCTCAAATTTCTTAAAAATTCACTTTCTTTCTTATTTTGTGTTAAGGTTGAGGAATTTTGCAAATAGAAAGCATAATTAACTCATTCACTGTCAGAATACATTTGTATTTATTAATTTTAAACCTAACTATTAGTTTTTTTTTAAATTTTTGCTTATTATGGCATGTCACAAATGGTCAATAATCAATACGTAGCTTATTTGTGGCAGGACTCTGAAAATTCTTTACTTGTCAAAACCTGTAATATATGGAATAATTGTGCTTATGCTGTCTTAATTTTTAACCATGCCCAGTAGCTTCAATAAATGCATAACACCAGGTTGTGCAAATTGGGCAAGGATACAAATGAGTACGAAGTCTGCAAGTATGAAGGTTTTCTTCGTAAACCTGATTATTAAAGACAAATAAACTGCCAAATTATCAGGTTGTAAGCTTGATGCCACTATTAAAGCAGCTGAGGTAGACAAATCAAGAATACTAGAAAGTAAAAGAAGTACTACAATCTTAAAAACAAACTAGAAATCTTCCATGCTATAGGTGAAAAAATACATAATATCTGTCTTCTCTTAAATGAGTTAAACACAATTCCACTCATATCAATTGAATCAAAAAGGGCATTCTCGGTAGCGAAACTTTTCATTATTAAAATAAGAATCAGATTGAATGATCGGAGTATTGATCATCTTTGCTTTTTAAAATCTTATTATAAAAAATTTACAATAATATTTTGTATTATGTTTTATTTAAAAAACAAAAATTACCTTTTAAGTTAGAAATTTGATCTAAGTTTATTTTTTTTGTTAAATTTTCAACTCAATTCAAAGCTTTTTTTTTTTGTTTTTGTTGTTGTTGTTGTATGCAGTTTCCAGCAAACTTTAATAAATTTTTTCTATTTTTGAAAATTTATACATAATTCAAAGGTAATTTTTAATTTATATTTTACACAGCATTATTATGATTTTGGAAGTTGCAGAACGTATTAAATTACTTTAAAAAATGAAAAATAATTATATCATTTGATTTCAAAATATTTTGTATATCTTAAAAATAATTAATTCTATCCTGAGATTTCCTGTGATTCCAGGAAATAGTTCACAGTTTTCCTGAAATCCTGGGACAAGCAAATGACTGGGAAATGAGAAACCCTAGTCACAAGTAATTTTAATCCTATTAACTGGGGATTACTGAAGCTTCCCTCATGCTCCTAAACTTTTTGTAATGGCTATTGCCCTATGATGATTAAAAATACCATACAGAGAAACCCGACATTATTGTTAAATATTTATTAAAGTTATGCATGGAGTGATGTTAATTCACACTGTTTTAAATACCACTGTAAAACTCTGTGCTGGATACTCTTCAGAGCTTAAGCTTTGAACAGTTTGACAGTGAAATTGGTGTTGCAACTGTTCATGTAGCATAGTCTAGACATTAACAATATTTATCCCAATGATTTGGGTAATAACTCATGTGCTTGTTGAGAGCTATTGGTCTGCATGTTGAATCACTAGTTCTTTAAAGTCACCAGTTCTAATTGAGTATGGGAACACGCAAAAGGTTTTTATTCACAACATTTGTTCAATGTGCAATCCATTTGCATCAATTATGTATTCAAAATGTCTTACAATACAATCCATTTGCACATTGAACAAATGTTGTGAATAAAAACCTTTCACATGTTCCCATTTTGTGTTTCTTGTTCTTCATGCGCCATTTTTCACCTAGTGGTAAAAATTCAAACTAAATATTTTTTTTGCATTTCCTTTTCCCCATGGTCCATATAACATATATACCAAATCATCAAAATAAATCCACAAGAACAGGCTCTAGACAGATCTGAGTAGCGCAACTTTGATTATAACCACCCTGTAGAATATTGCAGTTTGTGATATATTAAGATATAGAAAGAAGTCACAAAGAAAACTTGAAGGAATAAATTAAGTCCAATTTATTGTATTCAGCATGATTTCTGACACTATTATTTATCATTTTCCCCTGTTTTATGGAAAAATCACATCAAAAGGAACATCTGTAATCTTTTATTTGCCTTAAAGAATTGCCTTTGGTGTTCTAGTCTTTCCATAAAATATGAAAAAAAGAAAACAAGCATCAGAAATCACTCTGAAGTATAATACATTGAGGAAGTGTTTAATCTGCACGTACTGAGGCATGATAAAATTTAATTAATCAAAAAATAATAGAATACAAAAAGAGATATTAGATGCTTGTTTACTAATAAAATTTTAATAAATAATAATTTAATTTTTATCTATCATAATTATTTAATTATAATACTTACAATGTTATTTTCCCCCAGAACCATAATATTGCATTTTTCAAAACACTAAAAGGCTAGAAAAAATTTGTAAAAAAGTTATTAGACAGATAAACATTTAATTCTATGCATTCTGAAAATAAACAGAATTTTCCAAATAACTATTTATAATTTTCTAATTTACTGTTGTCATATTAATCTTGGTTTTTTGGAGCCTAATGCTTATTGAAGCCCAATGGGAATCCATTTTTTGATAATACAAATAATACTATAAATTATCATTATGATATTATTATTAATATTAACTATTTTTTTACTGTACTATAAATGCTCATTGTTAATGAAAAAGTATTAAAAATGTATGCTAATAATTAAATTTTTGTGGGCCTTGATACTTGGGGGCCCAGGGCTTAAGCCCTATTAGTTTCTATATAGATCTGCCCCTGGATATAGTAACCAGAGTTAAAACGGTGTTGTGACATGCTGCTTAAATAAGTTTTCATTAATTTTAGTTTTGAAAAACTTCTTTGTCATTGCCCGTAAAGTTAAAAAAATGAGGCATGCTGCAATAAACCTATTTGAGGCTGCGGTGTGAAATAAAAGTAGTTCAGCAATTTCGCTTATAGAAGTAATTTCTTTTACCTGACTATAAAAACACATTTTAAATTGAAGCACTTGAGATCAAAACTAGGCGAATATGCCAATTGTAATAATTCTGGTTGTTCCAGAATATTTTTATCATATGATGTGACAAGATATGCAGGCGAAAAGCACTTGAAAAGTGTACATAATTGTCGAATGGATTCAAATCTAATAGTTAATTGGTTAATTATTACATCCAAAATTTTTTTACAAATGATTTTACAAGTTTTTAGTTTGTCCTTTATAACTTGACACTCTCATGATTCATGTGCCTGGAGCAGTTTGCTCCAACTGCTCTACAGTAGCTACGCCTCTGTATTTCACAATAGGATTTATACAAAATTTAAAAAGAAAAAACAGATAGTGCAGATATCAATGTACATACCAACCTCCATATATAGGAGAGATGGGTAGAACCCCATGTAGCCGTTATCCATATGGTCATACGAAATTTTTATATATTAAGTTTTGTTTTGTATATTCTATCCTATCCTTTGTTCTAAGTTTCTTCTAGAAACTTCTTTCTTTACCCTCCTTGCCCTTAGGGAAGGATTAGTCTTCCCCGAATTTCGAGATGAACAAAAGAGCAGAAGGGACACCTGAGGACAAACAATCCAAAGTGAGGACACTTTTGTATTCGGGGCCCAAGAGGAAGGAAAGGGCAAAGCAGAGCTCCGTACTAGGGGAGAAAACTGAGAATTCTAAAAAGTCGTAAGGCTACACACAACACTTAACACCTCAATACTACTTCCAGCAGTCAAAAGATTTTAATATTCATTAGAATATTAAAATCTTTTGACTGCTGGAAGTAGTATTGAGGTGTTAAGTGTTGTGTGTAGTATATCTTTCCAGTTTACATGTGTTAATTTTTTGTCCAAAGTCGTAAGGGTCTAGAGAATGGAGAAAAGAGTCGTAAGGACATTGACCAGAGAATAGAGGATATTAATTATTCTTCAAAAAAAGGGATCACTACACAAGAACATCAAGGACCGTAAACATGCACCATACATAAGAACATCAAAAACGTTAAATGTACGCCCTGCACAAAAAGCATTTTTCACATAAGGACAACCTGAGTATTTCTAATCTACACTTATTCTTCTTTCTTACTCTCCTATATTCTTTTTGTTTTCCTTAGTTTAAGTTAGATATAGTATTAGTTATAAGTTGGTTGATTGATCAAACATTTGTTACGCGTGATGTGTATTCCAAATTGTAAGAGGACCAAGAAATTTCCTCATGTTGTAAATATAGTAGAATTGAAATTTTATATAGTTGGGGTCCATACTGTAAGAACCTGGTTGGAGAGAAATAAAAAATACTTTGTAATATAATTAATTATCCTTTTGTTTGTAACCGTACATTCTCTCTATAGCAACCTTCACACCCAGGTAAAAGATTAAAAGAACATGATGCTGTTACACGTCTTAGACATAAACAATTACCATGACATCATCACACCAAACAAACAGGTTTCAAAATAGATACAAACCAGATTAAAATTTTACACAATGAAAATGACATACAAAAGAGAATTTAAAGAACACTTAGCAATCTCAAAAAGTTTATATAAGGGAAATCTGTTAAACACATGTGAAGGAATAAAAATCACCAAGAGGTGATAGGATATCATCTCTTGATTGTGGGTAATACAGTGAGCAATAAATCTGTTGGCCACACAGGGCCGGTGTGAAACAGGTTCAGTGCATTCGCTGGAATCTGGCCCTGCATTCTGAAAGATTCCACAGTGTACAAAGACTCATCAGACATTTTGCAGGACCCCCTCTATAGTAGATTGAATATTCGGTAGTAAGTAGATTCGGTAAGTAGATTGAATATTCGGTAAGTAGATTGAATTCGAAATGCCTTGAACGAAATTGCCAACAACGCATCTGACAAGAAATTAAAAATTGAGATTTTGTCTATAGTGCGAAAGATAAATGAATTTGAATTTATTGCCAGTCTCATCATTTGGTATGAAATATTATCAAAAATTAATATCATCAGCAAAGTATTGCAAAATCAAAAGATGCAAATAGATTTGGCCACGAAGCAACTAAAGGTCTGAACGTATTCTTTGCAGAATACAGAAATGCAGGATTCAGCAAAACCATGATCACAGCAAATAAAGTTGCAAAGGAAATAGACATAGCATCAGATTTCAAGTCACCATACAGGGGCAAAAACGGAAATTATTTGATTAAGAAGGACAGGATGAATCATCGATGATCAGTGACAAAGAATACTTCTGTATATATTACTTTTTTAAAATAATAGATACTGCATTGGTATCATTTAAAAGTAGATTTGAATTATATGCAAATCACCAAAATATTTTTGGCTTTCTATATATTGTGAATTTGGATAACGAATATTTATTAAAATGTTGTCAAGATCTTCACTTACATTTGGAAGGAGATATCAACGGAACTGAAATGTTTGAAGAGATTAAGATGTTCTGATCAAAACGCAAGCCATTTAGCTCTAAATGGGATAAAATATATTATAAAAAACAATCTTTCAGAAGCATACCCAAATTTATTAATTGCATTACAAATATTGTTAACTACGCCAGTAACCGTAGCTTCAGCTAAATGTAGTTTCTCGCAGTTGAAACTAATAAAAAATTATCTTCAATCATCAATAAGCCAAGACAGATTTACATCTCTGTCTATTCTTTCAATAGAAAGCGAAGTAGCAAACTCAATCAATTTTGATGATGTAATCAAAGACTTTGTGGCGAAAAAAGCGAGAAAAATTATGTAATATTCATCTTACAAAAAATATATATAACATCCTTTGTACTTATAATAAATAATTCCTTATTGTGAAATTTAAGTATAGGATTTGAATGTATTCTGGCCCTGCAAAATTTTTGAACTGGGCCCCGCATAAGGTCACACGACCCTGTTGCCACAAGATGGTTACACTAGAACAACATAAAGCTTACTTTTAAAGACTAATAGTCTATTATAATAGCATAAAACATTTATAATCTAAAGAATCTTTTTTGTATTACAGTAGAGCATCGATTATCCGACTCAATTGGGGACTCAGGTTGGTCGGATAACTGAAAAAATCGGATAACCGAAAAGAAGGAAAAAATACATTATTAGTATAGTATATTAGGATATTAGTAAATCCCATGTAATTAGTTTATTAGTATATCGCTATTAACCAACTTTGCGTTGAATTTTCATTGATGTTTAGCCTAACAAATTTTTTTCTAAAATAATAATCATCGCTATTGTATCGTTAAAAATTATTTTAAAATTATTTTATTGCTCACAAAACAAACAACCACTCATAATTAGAAAATTAAATCTCGTTTAAATATTGGCCTCCCTTCAATGGTCGAGCCATTGATGCCAGCTAAAACACGCAAAAATGTAACAAAAATAATATTGTGAAGCCCAGGATTTAAAAAGGCTGAGAATCGAATAATTTCTATTCATTTCAAACCAAAACGATTTTTTTAAAGTTAGGGTTAACTCAAAAAGGAAAAAACAACCGACAAATTTTCTCATAAAAATCGCTCATAAAAACTCCTTTCCCACCACAATACTTCCCTGTAGAAGATGAGTTAACTGTTGTGTCATATTTAGTCACTTCACCCACCATTGGTCAAAGAAGATCATCACCTATGACGTACAGGGAGAGATCTCGTGAAGATATCCCCCCATATAAAAGAAACTGTAAAACCACCGACGGGGGGACAAGTTTTCCTGAACTGTGAGTGTGAATCACCTGCCTCTCGTCGCCACCGTCTTCTAAAGACTTTGATTATGACTTGAACTCGAACTATAGTTACGAGCCCAGGATTCGGACTCCGAGATCGTCCTGAACCCTTCAACTTCTACAACTCGAGGTATTTATCCTACACGCAATGATATGTAAGCTCTCTCTCGCTATTTGAATATTCCAAACTCGCGGTTAGGGTCGCGACAAATGAACGATATGGATTGAAATTCCCGAGGCAAGGGATCTGTACCTTCGACTCCGTAAATAATTAAATATGTATAAATGTAAGGAATAACCAGAATAAACGGGTATTTTGTTAACGAACTTGGATTGGTGTGCATTTCTTCCGACATTTTCCACTCCATACTGAACCCGAAGTCCTCGACGAGATCGCTCGTGATAATTCCCCATCCATCCGCGTATCTATCCGCGATAAATTGATAGATTGGTGTCAGATCCTGACAGGTGAAAGAATCTAACGATCCTTTCTCCTAACCCTTTTTTCCCATCCTTTAGACAAGCGAGACCGGACCTCAAGGTCTTGAGTCGAGTAAGTGGTAGGAGAGGGACATCCTCGTAAACATCCTACCCCCGATTAGTCTCACAAT